TAGAAAACCCAACGTGCCTTTTTATTACAATGTTATGATGATAGTTAGACCTGGTCATTCATTTTGTCCCACTCTTTTACATTTAGATCTGTTAGGTTTACAGCAGGGTATTAGTCTAGTATATATAATAGAAGCTATGAAGCCGGAACTACTGATAATTAATTTTTATTGTGGGGAGTATATTGTATCAATCGATATTTCTTTGTGCTCTAATACATCAGAACAATTGTGGTACTATGTTAGCATGACAGAGTCAGAAAACTGCACAAAAATTCTCTCTCCCCTTCTTCCTCCTGCTTCACCACTTGTTTTAAGAATGAAACACAAATTGATGCACCTGCATTTGGTTTGAGTTTGGCCAGAGGAGCAGCTGGGAGCATACCTGAATTTTTAGCGGAGATTGGGAAGCGTTTGCAAGGGCTGTGTGGGTGATGCTTGTGTTGCTGTGTGCGCGAGCAGAAAGACAGCGGAGGTAAAACATGCAGCATTTCCAGCAACAGGGAATATTTTGTTCTCTCCCTATTAATTGCTTAATGGGAAAGGAGTTATGGAAATGTGAGCGGGCATTACTTTAAGTGCTTGAAATATTCCTTCCCTACAGACCGATAAATGCATATCTCTTCTATCAAGCAGATGTGGTTGTCTGAAAGCAGAGATCTGCATCCGTGGAGTAGGTGGCTGCGGGAGGGTCGGCATGGCATGGTCACTAATGTACTCTGAGTCTTATGTGGATGGGCACAACCTCTTGGCTTATCTAGTTAGGATTTTTTCTCGAGCAACTTTTCATTATGCAGATCAGTGATGGAGTTTGAAACTGAGCCAGTCATGTAGCTCAGACTATTTTTCTACCTTAATGGAGACCAAAAGGCACAGGAGTCTTTTCAGAGGACTCATTCTATTTGCAACAAAAGTCAAGTGAGAGAGGTCATAACATGAACCATGTTTAACCTGTGATAAGATGGTTTTGATGATTACAGTATTATCCCTGACTGTAAGTTCACCTGGGTTAGGGAGTTCTGTCTTTTAAAAGTGTCCACCCATATATCAGTGCAAAATTAGAAATGCAGCAGTAAAAAATGCTATTTCAAAAGCTCTACAGATGAGGTGTCAGAGGAAAGCAATGGAAAAGCAAGGGAATAATAAACTGGAGATGTGTTTATTTCATTCCCATTAAACATGAAATAATAGATGCGTATCTTGGGCCCTGGAAAACAGAGCACAGATACTGTAGGGGAGAAATGAACAAAATAATAAAAAGTCACTGCCGGTGTCCTGTCCCTAACTTCTCTTTTTATGGTCATTTTAGAAGTCGATGCTGCATGTGTTAAACTTTCCAACCTTCCTGGGTTTTGCGGAGATTCTGTCTCCCAAACTGAGGACGTATTTCAGACATCGTGTCTTGGTATTAGAGTGTAATGCCTTGTACTTGCATCCATTGCACGTCTCATCTGCTGATCTGAAAGCACATTACAAAGATGGCTGAGAATGATTTGTCTCATTTTCTAGACGAGGAAACTGAGACATGGTGAACTGCAATGACATGTCCAAGGTCAGACAGTGAATAAATAGTAAAGATCGGAGTCGCATCAAGCCTTCAGACCCTCATTATACTGCATTTGTTTGCCATAGTTTTCCTTTACAGGGTTTCCTCGTTGACAAAGTTTCAGCTCAGTCAGAAGACCTTTGCTCTGGCGAAACAGCTTAATGGGGAGTTCTGGCCTAAAAAGGGACTTCAAGATCCAGGCCATTGAGCATTAAAAAAACACATATTCCTTCGAGCCCTGCTTTGTATGGAAACCACCAGTGCTGCTGTCCTGCCAGCTCTGTGATATCATTCGTACCTCCATGGCTATTGCAGCAGCATCTTGATAGGGGTGAGTCAGTCAGGCCTCAAGGAAAACTGAGAGCAAACTCAGTAATGAGGATGATGATAATTCAGGCAAATTTTCCACTTGGATGCTTGTAAAACATTTGTGAGCAAATCACGGGTTCCACCAGTTTGTGCATAACTCAGATGTATTCAGTGGTTCCCTTTTGATTTATTTTCTTTGCACAGTAAGTGCATTGGGAATATTCTGAATGAAACCCCTGTGGCGTAATTGTAATTGGTCGGATAAATTGCACAGGGTTTTCTTTTTTTCTGTTCCCTGATTGGTTGAGTACATAGGAAGATGCAACACAGATAGTTGTGCCCGTTAATGCAAGGGGTTTTTTATTTTATGAATGATTGTACACGTGCCTTTGGCGTTTGCTTTTTGCAGACGCAGTTGTCAGGAGAATGCGATTGATGCGTCATTCACAGGAGAGGCTCTGGTCCCACCCTGCTCCAAGCATGCAGATCCCGGGCCCATACGGAGATCTGTTTTCTGCATGCAGGCACCTGGATCTGCCTGTAAGGAGTTTAGTGCAAAGTGGCAATTCAAAGTCAAGTGAAACAAGGCACAATGGCTTCATTAATGTTTCATATTGTCCAACCAGTCCAGCTTGGGCTGGGGTGTGGAGGGGAGAAACCTCAGCACAGGCACTTTCAGGAAGAGCAGAGGAAATACCAAGCAAGTAGCTTTTCTCTAAAGGGGAAGATTTTTTCCTTTCTAGGTGTCTCCAAGCAAAGCCTCTCCTCTTATCATTAAATCAGAGACAACGAGGGTGGGAAGGACCCCAGGAGGTCACATCTACTTCAAGCCCGTGCTCCAAGCAGGACCAGCCCCAACTACAGCATCCCAGCCAAGGCTTTGTCTATCTGGGTCTTAAACACCTCCAAGGATGGCCACAGCCTGTTTGGGGAGCCTGTTCCAGTGTTTGACTGCCCTCCTAGTGAACAAGTGTTTCCTAATATCCAACCTCAACTTCCCTTGCTGTAACGTGAACCCATTGCTCCTTGTCCTGCCATCTGCCCCCACTGAGACCAGTCCAGCTCCATCCTCTTTGCAGCCCCCCTGCAGGGAGGTGAAGGCTGCTATTCAATCCCACCTCAGTCTTCTCTTCTGCAAACTAAATCAGCCCAGTTCCCTTGGCCTCTCCTCACCAGTCCTGTCCTCCAGCCTCACAACCATTTTCATTGCCCTCCACTGGACTCTCTCCAACATGTCCACATCCTTTCTGCAGTGATCTGCTCCTCTGAATACAGGCGGTCCTTGACTTACAACATTTCAAGTTACAACATCTATAAATTGGCAGCCTGTTTCAACTTTATGACATCAGCTTTGACTTTACAACACTTGATCCGATGCGACGCCACGCCAGCAAACAAGTTGGCTGGGTCGCCCGTCTTCCTGGAGAATATCTGTTCAAACATCCTTGGATGCTTTCTTTAAGAAAGCAGACAAGACTCCAGAAAAACCTGCAGCCGAAACTCCTGACAAGACTCCAGCCAAGAGCCCTTCAAAAAGTCCAGCAAAGTCGCCTCAAAGAAGCCCTTCTAAATCAGTAGGATTGCTATTTACAATAGAAATACATTAATGTAGCTATGTTACTCATCTATAATTGATTGAGTACAATTTGGCCTCGATGATCTGTTGAGGTCCCTGCTGACTTTAACAACTATGAAACTACAAAATTCTGGGTAATTTTGGGTGAAAACAGGCTATCAGGCAGCATTGCAGGCCTGTGACCAGGATGCTGGACAGGTCGTAAGGAGCGGGGCTTGGGTTCCTAGCTCTGCTGCTGATGGGCAGTTCAGCGCCTCTCTGTGTCCTGTCCCCTCCCTTTTCCATATCATTTTGGGGGTATTGTAGCTGGGAGGCGTGTAATGGTCTCCTCCTCTTAGGTTTAGTTTCTAATTACTCTGCCAGGCCCCTTCAGAAATCTGTCATCCTTCCCCAGCACCTTTTCCCCTGTCCTCTGGCCCATCAGCATTTCTTTGCCTTCCCCAGCAGCATGCCCAGCCTTTCCCACATGCCCTTTAGTTGGACAAAAGGCTCAGGGCAGCAAGAAAGGACACAGTTCCTAATGGATAACTGATGTGAACACAGCTGTGATGTTCTTCTCCTCCTGCAGTTTTTTTTTCTCTGAAAAGCCACTTCTCACTGGATAAAGATCCCTGGCATGACCCTTTGTGCAGAAGAAACCAGTTTTTCCCCATGATGAAGGGGGAGCCTTTCTTACCTGGGTAGGCTACTTGCAAAGGAAGGTGCCAGGTAGCCAGAAGCTAACCGCGTTGCAGCAGCTGTTCCTATTGTTTTGCAGGGATGGATTTAAAATGAAAGAAGTTAAGAGATGAAGCAATAGGGTCAAATCCACTTCTCAGGTGGCTCCACTGAAACCAGGAGTGGCAGCCAGGGCCATCCATGTGTAAAGGGCAAGCAATGGCATATGCCAGGTGGTTTGTAAGTGCATTAAAATTAAAAGCGGTATCTGCATACCAGCAAGACTGGCTCTTGCTAGGACTGCCCCATCTGCACACCACGTACACTGACTGACCCCCAGCCCATCGGTCGGGAACATTAGGCATATGTTGAAGATTTGAATAACCAAATGCACTGCTGAAACCCAAAAGAGACCCGGTCCCCATGGCCAGGCACCCTGCAGCTTTAACTCGGATCTACCCCGTGTCACGCGGATGGTTTTGAGTAAAAGGTGTATCCAGGTTCACCTCCCATGTTGTTGGCCATTCTTAAAGCGAGGGGAGACTCTTTCCTGCCTCCTATCCAAGGCAGCGAGGGAGTCGCAAAGTGAGCACAGTGCAGAAGTGACATGCTATTCAGGTAGATTTGTCCGCCAGCGCTCGCTCTGCATTGCTGGCACAGTGCTCAGCTTTGACAGAGGTGTGAGGCAGCACAGACCCAGACCTCGTCTGTGTTCATGGCCTTTCTCTGTTGGATGACCTGGGGGGGCTGGCATCGCATGCAGGCAGCTCGTTGCTGTCCCGTGCCAGATGCACACAAGGAAAGTAGGAGCCAACTGCATCTGAATGACCCGAGCCTGCAGGGTTTCTCCCGCGCGCTCGTCTTTCTGGAGCGAGGTGCCTGACTCATATGCTGTCTCTCGTGCTTGCGTTTCAGGGCAACCCACTGTACTTCCAGTCCGCCAGAAACGTTACAGTGAATATTCTCAACGAGAAGACGAAAGTCCTCACTCGTCTTGTAACAGGTAACGAGGGGGGAAATGTCGGGGAAACGAGCTCAGAGGGCTGTGTGAGACTAGTGGCAAGTAGCACGTGGGAGGGGAGCGACATCCCGGTGCTCTGCTTCGCCCCGCCTTGGAACGGGGCTGGGGAAGTGGCTGGCTGCGCGTTTCTGGTAAGGAAGCCAGGAATCGTTTTCATGGGAAAGTCATTGCGGAGACAAAAGGTCACTTCTGTGACCTTGGGATCAGGAAGAAAATATGCAGCTTGATATTTCATTTGCAATCGGCACAGGATTGTCCCAAGATACCATTGACTTGCCAAAGATCTCGGGAACTTGTTGATTAAGAGTGCCTGTGTGTGGACACTGTACCATCCCGAAGCCCCGTCTGCTCATAAAGGACTCTTAGCACATTGTGTTTGCAGGGAAATGAGGGTTTCACGCATCCACGACATGCATCGGCATTGGAGTGCATGTATGATTTTTGCTCCAAGCACCCACATGTATAATGCTTTAAAAAAAAATATATATATATATGTGTATATGTATATAATATATATATATATATGGCAGTCTAGGGACAGGGAGAAGTATTGCTGTGTGGCAGGGCTGGTAATCCATAAACATGTTGTTTGTACAGGAGATTGGATTGTCTGGCTTGCTTATATAACATCTGGCCTCTAGTCAGAGCCCTAAATAATTAAATAAACAGCTTCAGTAAGCAATGATTTAAGCCGCGTGTGTGAAAATTGCCTTGAGGAGAGAAATAAATTCAACCCTGAGCTCCCAGATTCTCACATTCAAAATGAACTTGTTTAGTTTGTTGATCATTTGCCATTTATTTGCAGTGGAATATGTGGGTCTCTGGAGCGCCTCTGTTTTGAAAGAGCTTGGAAGTTCCTACGTGGCTCTCTATCTCTCTCATATACACAGGCACAGCACATACAGGCCAAGTTTAAAACCAGGGGTGTCAAACATATGGTCTTAAGGCCTGGTTCAGCTCACATTATCCGGTCCTTGGTTCATCCCCTGGGTCTCATTTGACCCAGATGGACCCCGTGGGCAGAGGATGCATGCCATGCACGGTGCCTATTCCAGCTGTTCTAGCATCTGCACTTCATGCAGTGCATGCCCTAGTCTCTCCACAACACACACCGCACACAGTGCCTGCTCCAGCCAGATGGGACTAGTCCTGCACGCAGCTCTCACCCCAGGCATGCATACGGCGTGGGTCCTAGACCAGGTGCCACGGGCACTGGATCCAGCATGGGAGTTTGGGGGCAGGTAGCTAGGGATTGTTTTGACACCGCATCAATGCCAACTTGGGAAACATGACAGCCAACTGGATAAGAAACATGTAAGCTTCAGTGAAGCCCTCTGAGGCAATTTCTTGGGGAAATGTCCCTTCCTGCCATGGCTGTGTGCAATGCAGATGCCTTGCTGTATTCATTCAGATGCTTAAGGACTGCGAGAGCTGCTCTGGGCATGCTCGGAGTGCCTTTGCCTGCATTTAAATGTCCTGGAAAGTGGCACGATGACACAACAGAGCTGCACATCCTTCCCTAGTAACCTCCAGCTCCATAGCCCAGATGTTGAATCCTGATGACAGTAATAACAGTATAGTACAGTAACAACGTTGATACTCTGCAACCCACCTTCTCCTTAAATGCCTCAAGGCAAGGTTGGGTTTTGCGGCAGGTCTCATATACAGGAGTGGGCAAGAGAAACCCAAAGCTGAGGGAAGCCTTGAACAGGGCGTGTGCTGCCAGCTGCTCCCCTCTTGGGAAGTGCAGTGATCTCCATTTGAATCGGCTCTGCCGATCTCAGCTGCATTGGGACATGCTGGGGAGGGCAGCCGTCTTCTCCGCTAGCCCGGCTCCATTTAGGGCTTTCTAGGTTTAAATTGAACACCTCGGCCAACTGCAGAACGCTCCCAGGTTGCCGGTGCGTACGATGGAGCACCAACGTGATGAGCTCTCCATGGCAAGACACTTTCCTGCACCTGCCATCGCCCATGCAGTTAATAGCAGGCATAGTTGGGCAGCATTTGGGCTCCCCAAACTGCATGGGCAGACAGCAGTGGTCTTATCTAGTTACCTAGCTCTGGGTGAGCTGCTTCCTATGTGCCATGAGAGGCCACACTTAGCAACATTGAACCCTTGAATTTCATTTCTTTTTTGTCTGAGAGTTGGCTCAGGCAGCAACAAAAAACATGAGTCCTGTTGTTCTGCCTTGTATCGCCCCCCTGGAGAGCTTGGCTTTGCACAAGCTGGGCTGTTGAGAGGATGGTTCAGCTGGCTGGTACAAAGTTTTGCTCAGGTCAAGTCGCAGAGAGGTCAGCACTTTGTGCTGTAAGTGCCAGGCGGGCAGCTGATGCGTGTCGGGCTCCCCAGCAGAAAGCGTGGCCCGGGGCTTTCCATCATCAGCATGCATCCAGGGGGAAGCAGGAGAAGGAAGACGAGAGCTAAATGAGGGGAAAGTTTGGACAGCCATGAAACTTGCTGCATATTCAAGATGCTGCCGTTCACATTGTCCCATGCACAGTACTGAGGGCATCATCCTGAAAGGTGCTGCGCTGGAAAGGCACCGTGCGGCTCTGGAGCAGACAGACTCTCATGTGGCCCACACCGATTCCAGTGGGCATGGGCCAGGCCTTCATTTTACATGGGAAAATGAAGCATTTGTCCCTAAGCCTGATGCTGGTTTTGAACTGGACTGTATTGATGCCAGCATCCTGTCATTCAAGGTACATTGGCTCTGCCCGAAAGCAAGAAACCGCTACGTCACAGCACTGAGCCAGGCTGCGTAGGGGAGGTCAGACTTGCTTTGTTTTCTCCTTTTCATACAAACTAGCCGTGCAGGTCTTGGATCCTCATACAGCTTTGCCCGTGCCCGTGCATCCTGGCCCAGAACATCCCGTGCTTTCTCTTTCGTCCAGCAAAAACTCCCAGTCGTGCCAAGTTGCACAGTGTTTTTGTTCCTTAGAGCGTAAATAGAGACTGGAGCAATTTGTAATAGTTTGGAATAGCTGCCAAAAATATCAAGCTATTGCCATTTCCTTGCCTGATCACACTCTGAAGGTGGCAGGCCTTGGTGACAGGTCTATCTATTTTGAGATTGTATCAGCAGAGTTGTTAGGACAGTCTCACTACTTGGGCCTATTCAGCTTATAAAGTTTCCTTACTATTTTCTTTAAAGCACCCTAGAGGAAACACATGCTCAGTTTTTTCTTCTCTTGCAGGTCCCCAAGCCGTGGAAGCACACAGCCAAAAATTTGAGGTCAAAACCACATCTGGAAAGTTGCTGTTTTCAGCAGACGACAACGAAGTGGTAGTCGGAGCAGAGAGGCTGCGAGTTTTAGGTAACCGATCTTTGACTGGACGACTCTTTTAATGCTGTCTCTGAATGTTTTTCAAGTGTAAAGTCTCTTTGAAAACACGCCTTTCATTTTCATCCTTGCTTTGAACCTGCCCCAAACTGGTTGTGACCGAGCCGTGCTGTCATGCGCTGGTTGCTTGCCGGCCTCTCTAAATTACATTGCTCTCAATCCAGTTCCCCGAGGAGAAGGGACTATCGCATACGTGGTCTAACAGTCTCAACAGAAGGGCCAAAGAGTTAGGGGGCTTTTTCCTTTGGGTACAGGTAAAAGACAATGATGGGACATGCCCATAGCCACTGTGCTGTAGATGAATGCAGACCTCAGGGCTCCAGATCTGTTGCTTTGAACCCTTCTGCAAACTCTAGATTTATTTTAAAGTGAATACCAAGCGTTTTAGAAGAGCCGCTTGGTTTTAGTTAAGGTTTTTGGCCCTTGGCATTTGCTGAGCCTTTATGATGTGCTGCCCATTCCTTTCCTTTGCACCTGTCTGAAGGCTCAGTGAGTCTTTAGGTGGACTAGAAGCATTTTGCCGTCATGGCAAAATTCATGATACCGGAGGGTGGATCTGGCAGTTTGGAAAGCAGTTGGGTTTTCCGCTGTTGGGCATCTGCAGTGGTCCAGCAGAGGCAGAGCCAGCTGGGACTCCACAGGGGTCCTGGGCCCTGCTAAGACAGGGAACATACTGTGCTGGGGGCTGAATTTGCAGTGCACTGGCTACTCTACGCTGAGCCCCTGAAGGGACCCATGGGGTGCTTAGTGCATGCTCAATAAGTAGCTTACTGTGCTTGGAAAGGGCACTCAGTCATAGGGCATCCATGCAGGGAGCTCCAGCAGGGTAGCTGGCATGCAATAAATTCAGTGCCCAGCTCAGTGGACAGGAGCTTCCCTCCGTGCACCAGTCTCGACTGGCAGAGTCCCTCTGCGGTGCCGCCTTCTTGACTAGCTTTGCTTCCTTTGGGGCCCCTGCTAACCTCCTGCAAACATGGGCCTCATCTCTCTCTGCCCCTGCAACCTGGAGCACCCGTGTCCCCAGAGTTTCCTGCATCATGTCCTCCTTTCAAGGTCAATGTGGGCGTTACTCAGTAGGAATCAAGCTCTTTTGTGTACATGTGCATAACCTAGGTGGAAAGGAAACCATTAAGGTGATTTAAATACCTTTAAAATATTTGCATCTCGTTACCAGCCTGGAAGCTCGACATCTTTTGCTTTGCGCCGTGGTGCTCTCTATTTGGCTCTGCCTATGAGTGTGGCATGGAGAACTGGTTATATTTTAGCAGGGGGAAACAGCATTTATATGTTTGCTAAAAAATTAAACCACCTGCAAAGCTCTGTAATGAACCTATCTATATCTGCCACTTTTTATGTGGAAACATATACATGTGTCTATGCAAGTTTATATGACTTTTGTAGGTCAAATTTGGGGCGTTCCAAGCTGCAGTGTCTCCTTTATTAGAAAATCAAAAAGGATCTTTACCGCAGACATACACTCTTTCGAAGCTGCAGGCCGCATGCCACAAATTTAAGCTGTTCACACGCATCTCTGGTCACTGCGCATCTCTCCAAGTTTGTGTCAGCCATTATGTAGGGGAGATAAGGTCAGGACACACGTTCTTCCCAAGATCTTAAAGCACAAAGAGATTTCAGATTATTTTTCTTAGTCAGCAATGCAATAATTGGCAGATAACAAGCAGGAGCTTTGTACCTCTGGCAAATACCGCTTCTCAGCCTGTGCAGCCCCAAAACTATCTGTTTTTTGGTTGAATTGCTGTAGAGGAATCCACAGTAGTGTTAGATATATCGGTGTGAGTTTCTGCTGTGCTTCATTCCCTGGGGTGCAAGGTGTGGGAGCAGAGACGATGCTCACTGGTACGGTGCACTTTCATTTCGGTTTGCAGCAGATGATCTTGGAGCTTTATCAGGCTTCAGAAGAGACATCAAGGAAGAGAAGATATGACATTACAGTTAATGGTACGCTGTCAGTAACCTTGGGCTGCGACTGCTCCAGAGTCTGTGCCTGCCGCAGGGTTTTCTGCCCTCGCTTCTGCAGTCTTCCTGCTCTTCCAGAAGCAGCTCCCCTGATGCCTTGCTATGCTGGGAAGTGCTGCACCATGTGCCCGGTTGGTGTTTTTATCTGGACCTGAGCGGGTCCACCTAGTTTGAGAGCAAATTCCTCTAATCGCTGTGCCAGGGTTTGAGCCCTGCCCACGCTGATGCTTAGCTACACTTGGTAAATGATCTTGACTTGTTCTTGTTGCCCCATGCGTCCTCGCTGCAGAGGGAGGTGGAGCACTGCAATCTGGCAAGGAAGTCGCCTTGCAGAGGTTCGAGCAGCGGCAGCTGGATGCATGGCCCGCTTTTCATCTTGTTAACGAGAATGACTTCCTTTTTGTTCTTGCTGCAGAGTTGATTTGGAAAGTTTGCTCCATGAAAAGGTGCCAAAACCTTATTACAAGAAACTTGGGGCTTTCTGCAGAGGCTGACTTTCAGCTTCAGGTTCTTAGGCTTGAAAAAAACCCAACAAAAGGGCCTTTAGAAAGGGCAGCAGTAGGGTGCAGGCTGCCTTTGATGCGGCTTTTGGAGGTCCCCAGTCGGTGCAGCTTACAGAACAAGAGCACCCCTTGAATGGTGATTTTTAGCCATAAAGGGGACACCTGGAGCCCAGTTCTTCCCCCTCCAGTTTTCACAGCTACTGTAGTTAGTTTGGATAGGGCCTCCACCCAGGACTGCCCCAAATGGAGGAAGAGTCTGCTGCGAGGATCTCAGTACTTTGAAACCTCCCGACAATGATAGGAGATGGAAAAATGGGAGTGGGAGAAACAGCGTGTCGTGGCCCAAATCAACCCAGAGCCACCCACCTTGAACGGAAGCATGTGCCCGAGCTGCAACAGAGTCTGTCGATCCTGGATAAGCCTCATTAGTTATCTTCAGACCCACCGATAAGACAGTCATGGAAGACAATCATCCTCAATGGCAATGATGAGTTATTTTGGAGGAGTCTGGAGAAAAGTGGAAGCTTTTGGCTGTGTTGAGTCCGTCATCTGCCTGCCTAACTAGCAGCTGAGCTCTTCGGCCTGTCTATTTAAAACCCGTCATCACTCAGCTGAGCCTCTGCATGCTAGAGACAGTGCAAAGGTTGGTGTGCAAGTGAGCATGTATAGGCATGTAGGTGTGCAAGGAAGGGGGCAGTCATTTGCTGCTGGTATAGGCCAGTGATAGTGTACTACGCCAGAGCAGTGAAGGAAATGTCTGCTGGAGCCCTGGGAAGCCGCAGCAATGGCTCACTCAGGCTTTCTCTGTCTCGGGCACTTCTGCAGCCTTCAGCACCTCTGCATCCTCCAGCTCTTAATGTATTTATTATCCCTGCCCCCAAACCCCTCAGCTTGAGCTGTTTCCCCCACGTGACAGAATGGACAGTGAGAAACTGAGAGCAAGCTCCCTCCTATTTGACCGTCGTGCGCTTCAGTGGCACAGGCAAAACTGCAGTAACTGGGCACTCAAGCACGGTCCAGCGTGCTGCTCCCATCTCTGGCAAAATGCACACGTGCTGGCTAGAGGAAAGGAAACGGTGAGCCCCGACCACTTAGGGCCAGGGAGTGGAAGACCTTAGTCCAAGGAGGTTTGAGCCCATGTCCTTTGCTTTATAGCAGAGTGCTGTAACCACCAGACCGCAGTTACCCAGCGTGCTCCCCAGCGGGTGCGCTCCACCTTGCATTCATTACTCACTGGCGAAAATGGTAAGGTAACACCAGTCTACTTTCTATTTTTGTGGGAGCAGAGACCAGATGAGACCCCAAGATCTCGCCCCTCCAGAGCAGCAGTCATTTTACAGAGACACCTTTGCTCTAACTTACTTTCCTCCTGAACCACTGGTCCGTCCTCAACAGGAGGGGCGGGGAGCGCTCTGGGCAGTGCCTAGCTTGCAGCAGGGTCATTAGCGTGCTTTATTTATCAGTCCGGGGCACTGATTCATATCCCCGCGGGGTGACGGAGGGGCCGAGACCCTGGATCTCCTGTTCCCTATGCACCACTAAGGGATTCAGTGCTCCTGCATGCTGAGGGTCCCTGCCTTGAGCGTGCACCCATTGTCGTGACTCAGTTTGGAGACTGGCTGGGCCCTAGGGTGACTCTGGTCCCCCAGCCAGATGTGCCGCCCCGTGCTCAGCGGGCAGGTGTGGATCGACCACCGCTGCTGTGCTAAGAGCCCCAGCAAGGGGCTAGGCAAGTGCATGAAGGGGAAACCAGACTGTGGCCTTTCCCTGCCTCCTTCCCTCCTCCCCCTAAAAACCAGCGCAGCTCTTCTCCAAGGTGTTGCGTCTGAGAGAGCCTTTAATAAAAGCTCAGTGGAAAATATCTTTGATATGCATTAATTACCAATTTCATTTAATAACATACTGAACGCAACAGCATTTATAAACAAAGGATAATCATAAAGCATTATTCTAACTGTTAATTAGCTCTATTTATTCACCAGATTAGTTTTTAAATATGCCCTCTAGATGCCACTTGATACTCATTACCAGAGTTACATTATTAGCTCAATACAAAAGCATTTTTAATTAAATCTAAAGCAATTTAAATTAGCATGGATTTTTTGCAGAAATTAAACTGTGTTCAGATGCTTAATTTAGCCTTTTAAGATGATGACAGCTGACGTGTTGGTATCAGCTCTCCTAAAGGCCACGCCATCTTTTCTTGGAGATGATACTTCCAAGTTTGCTTTCAGGGAAACTTGCCAGTGAAGTTTGGTGATTAACATTTATGCTGGAACGCGCACAGATGCTTTTTTAGTTTTTCATTGAATACTGCTGGAAACCAAGATGAATTACAAGGGTTTGTTTGTTTTCAAAAGAAAACAACACAGAGGAGATTTATTCTGCTGAAAAGGTGGCTTTTTGCTGCTGAGGACATGGCAGGGAGCATGGCTGTGTCAGTGGAGTGATGTGCTACGCAGGGTGTTTCTCATCATGTGACGAAGCTTATTA